TGGGCCCCGGCGGGGCCCCGCGGAGCCGCTCCGAGCAGGCGCTTTTGCAGGCCCAGAGCTAATAACCGTGCTGCAAGCAGCCTGAATCACGCTGCTCCTGGCGCACGCAGCCCTCCCACCAGCGCCAGCGCCTGCCCGAGCCATGCAGCTATTTCTCATTCGTGCTCGCAGGGCCAGCTGATCTCCGCAGGACCCGAGCTCGGGAGACAGCTACGGCACAGGAAGGAAGAGGGGGAGCGTTGCCAGCGTAGGAAGGGACTGCAGGAACATCGCTGTGTCCCCGTGTCCCTTCCCACAGCAGCTCCAGGGAAGGTCTGCAGGCTCCATCCGCCAGGATAACCCGCAAATGCAAGTGAAGCATCACAGCACGAATGCAGCAGCAAGGCCGCTGTCGAGGCAGGCACATCCCTCACCACCCTGCTCAGCCCCCGTGCTCCCATCCGAGTCAGGAATGGCCAAACGCCCCGGGAAAGGACAGGTGCCAGAGCAGAGCCAAGCCCTCGAAGCCCTTGGCGAGCCCCCGTGCCAGTGCCGCCCCGTGCCAGAAGAACGTCGCGAGGTGCCCAGCTCTGGCAGGAAGGAGTTGGCTCCCCGTGCAAATCCCTGCACCGTGTCCGAGCGGCTGCACCGCCGAGGGACCCCTTGGACGGGCCCAGCAAAAAAAAGGGTCCAGGAACGTCTCCTCCGTGCAAGCTCCGGGGAGACTGAGGAAATCCCCTGGCGTCACGAGGGACGCCGGGAGCCGGGTCCCTCCTCCACCGCAGGGCTGCACGGGGACCATGACCGCCCTCCTTCCCTCGCTGAGCCGATTAGCGCTCCGAGATCCCTCGGGAAGCCTCGCGAGGCCGCGGGGTGGCACCGCTGCAAGGCCAGCGCGTCCTGCGAGGGGAGGCAGCCCCGGAGCCCAGCCCGGGGAGCAAGCCCAGGGCTCGGGGCACACAGGGAATGGCCCCCACAGAGCAGGATGAGCCAAGGGAGCAAGATGAGCCGCGGCAGTGACTCGCGCTGCCCGGAGCGCTCAGACCGGTGACTCAGGACAGGCGCCGCGGGGACGGCTGAGGTCAAGCGGCCACCGTGGGGGACCGGGGCAGAGCC